CTCCCACACTCACTCTCACGCGGCCACCACCGCAGCAGCAGCCGCACAAACCACGAAACAGATGGAATCAGTGCGATTGCAGAACTCGCACACCGTCCTGCAAACCAGAAGTTTAAAAAGCAATATGAAACAAGAATTCAAAAAAAAATGGAAAAAACTTAGGCTTCTGCGGGAATCGAACCCGCGTCCCCGGATGACATTGTGAGCGTGTTTGCCACTGAGCTATAAAAATGCGGTCGCGCGACCCCTTTTCACGTAAAGTATTAATTTCGATCTTCGAACAATCGAGCACATTTGCGTTGTCCCCCGGAAAACGAAAGCGACATGTTTAGGGTGCGCCGCCGCAGCGTGGTTACTACGATTCGTCGTGTTGTATCCAACGTCCGGGGCCACCGCCCTACCATTTTTTATTTCTTGCAGCGGCCAACCCCGGCAGTAAGGACAAAAAAAAGAATCGCGTTTTCTTTAATGTTTTTCCTGTTTGGGGGCGGGGATCTTTGTTTTCTATGATTGTCTCTTTTTTTTTGTCTGTTCCAGGTTGGTTTTTAGGAGGCTTGATGTGCCTGCTGGGTGATCGCCGGCTTTTTTATTGGTGATTGCGTATTTTTGGCTTACCGGTGTGCCGCTCAGCGCCATTTTGTTTTACTTCTTTTCTGCTTATTGGGGCGCGTTGTTATTCGTCACGCGTCAGCACACACCGAGCAACATGTCAAAAAAAACAAAATGCAGGCTTTTCCCCCCTCGCGAGGGCCTCCGCAGCCACAATCCTGTGCGTGCGTGCATTCTCAGCGTTTTAAACACGGCATGTGTGTGCATGTGCTTGTGTGTTTGGCAGCGCCTATACTTGCGGAGCAGCTGTGCGCCACAAGAGAGTCTGAAGAAAACAGCGGCAGAGAGAGGAAGATAGCACACATGCAAATTACTCATATCATCACACACACACACACGCAGCCGCGGAATGAGTGCACTCAACCACAAAATCAAAAAGGAAAACAAAACAAAAAGCCGAAGCGTGGGACGACCAGCGCACACACACTCTCATTGCTCCCGTAAAGCAAAACACACACACAGAGGGAGAGAGAGAGAGGTCGCCCACTCAATGCAATAAAAACAAAACAGAAAC